GCCGCCCTCGGGAGGCGTGTAGGAATATAGAGTCCTGTTTGTAGTGTTCGGTGTATAGGGTGTCAAGTTGTTTCACCGCAGCCTTTCGGCTTAAGCAGACGGACTCAAAGAGCCTAAAAGTCCGCTGCAAGCCCGAGCCCCAAATTCCAAACTGCAACCCCTAGATCCTGAAACCCCCTACCCAGAGCCACAAACTGCGCGTCTTGAAGCCTTGAAACGAATTCTAACCCCAAATCCTCAGGTCATTTTTTTTTCGTCGGGATACTGCAGACAACAAAATAGACTAAGAGTTTGTTCTCCATTTGGCTATCGCATTCTTTCAGCAGAACAGAACCTTCCTTGGCTCAACCAGCCGCGAGCGTTGTGCAACGCCAAGCCCTAAACCTCAAACACCAAATCTCCAGGCCCGAAACCCTGAACCCTTAAACCCTAAATCCTAAACCCCAGACCCAAAACCCTAAACCCCCTAAACCCTCAGGGGAGCAACCCGGCCTCTGGGAGCTTTTGAAGTTGGCAGCGACTTGCGGCCTCCAAGAGCTAAGGACGGGGGACCAGGGCTGCGTTTCGAGGTTTAGGGTTCAGTACGTAGGCATTAGGGGTCAGGATTTGGGGTGTTTAGGATTAGGACTTAGGGTCTTGGCGATATGGGCTTCAGATGTAGGAGTGGGGGAGGGCTTAGGATTGAGTTTTCGGGTCTGGGGGTTAGCTCAGGGTTTGAGATTTGAGTTTGGGAATTAGCGGCTTGGTGGTTTATGGTCTGGGATTGGGGGTTCAAGATTCAGGGTGTAATTCAGGCTTTGGGGTTAGGGTTTAGTAATTAGCAATTTAGGTGTAGGTTTGGAGGCTTAAGAGTTTCGAGTTCAGATTTGAGCTTTGCGGTTTGTGTTTTGGTTTAGGCTCTAATTAGTAGGCTTCTGACTCGAGGCTAAGGGGTCAGGGTTCAGGAAAGAGCGGCTTAGGGGGTAGGACTTTACGCAGGGCTTCTAGTTTAGGTTCGAGGTTTCTGGTCTAGGCTGCGGTTTGAGGTTCTGGTCGCGGTGTTAAGGTCGAGGATATATGGGGTAAGGGGCTAGGGGTTAAGGTCCAAATTGCGGGCAGATTTCATCAGGATAAAGTCCCTAGATGCACTTTTGCGCCATGAGGAGATATGCTCCGTCAGCTGTTGCCGCTCAGGCATGTTTGCAGATCACAACTTTGTTTTTCGGGATGCAGCCTTAAACCTTGGGCCAAACCCCTAAGCCTAAAGCTACATCCTCAACCCTGATAGAAAGTTGACAGCGCAAGCAGACAAGTTGTGGGAGCCTCTGCTGGCTTTAGGATTCTTCCGAGCACGCTGCATGTGACCTTTGGTAATTTTACTCTGCTGATTTTCACAAGAATGCTATACTATTTTCTGAAGCCAACCAAGGCTCATCCCAAATACGTAAACAACAAATGATTTCAATTGGCAAGCTTGATCCCCCGTTTCGAGTCAGTTTATCTCTTGCTGTCTGTGTTGCTTCTGGTAGTGCAGGAGGACTATTAGTAGTGGTAGTGGTGGTGGTACAGCTACTGCTGCAGGTACTGCTATAGCTGCAGCTATGGTTGTTCTTTGCAAGAAGTATGTGTAAAGTGGTGTTCCAGGGCCGTTGTCAAAATTATGGCCCCTTTTTTGTGTTTAAAAACCCGTTTATGCCATGCTACTAGAATTCATCTCCAGAAAGGGACCACAGTTGTGACAACCTACCATACATGTTCAATGGCTGAGGACGACTTCAAGCAGGGCGTGTTTTCAGGCTTGCAGATGGAGTCCCCACTGCCGGAGTGGCAATGCCGCAGGAGGTGGCGCAACGGTTCTTTGGGATTCGTCCACTGGGCTTGCAAGTATGGCTATGAGCACAGGAGGCATGAGGGCGAGCAGCAGATGAACATAAGCAATTGCACAACCTTTGTATTCATGAAGAGTGCCGGCGAACCGGCGCCGGCTAGCTTCGCTTCCTCGACTGTGTGTCATGTGTGCCTACAAGATTTTGGGGATGAACTGGCCTTGGCCAGACATATAGAAGCTCCAGCCCTTCCGATCAGCGAGGTAGCTGCCCACAGCTGCTCCACGTGTTCGAGACGGTTCCATTCCAGCAGGGCCCTGGATCAGCATTCAAAATCCTGCCAGCTGCAGCAGGTGAAGCCCTTGAAGGGCAGCGCAGGCTACAAGCTTAGTCCCAAGCATGCCATCCCCGAGAAAGTGGTGAGTGTGGAAGTGACAATCGCCTCAGAGGAAGGTCTCAGACTTTCCCAGCTGGCACGCCAGAGTGAGAAGTTACGCCGCTACATGCCTTCAAAAGCAGCAGCGAAGCGGGCGATCGCGAAAGGTGAGCTTATGTTGAATGGTGAGCAGGCGGGTATTTTTCCACATAGGGGTCTTTTGCACATGGCCCAAACAGTAGATCTTCCTTCAATGTGTAGAAGTTTGGGAGCCTCTCAGGTGGAAGAGGCGCGAATTCTGAAGGCTGGAGACGTCGTGCTTCTGTGCTTGGACCGAGCGCAGGAAGCACTGGACGCAACGACAGCTAGGGCTCGGAGCGTGAAGATGGTGGCGCCGAAAAGGTTGTCCGCTGGCGGTCCAGGCGAGTCTGTTTTTTCAGAAATTCGACGGCCCCCCAAAATAGAGAGAAGTCCAAAAGTGAGTGTCCGCCGCTTTTGTACCCCCGAATGCCTGTATTCAGGTCCTGAAGAAGATTCTGGCTGGAAAATTGTTTGCTCCACCTGCCCGGATGGAGCTGCAGTGGTGTGGAAACCTACGGGCATGAGACTTATACTGCAAGGCTTAGGCTTAAATATTTATGGACGTATACCTGCAATTTCATGCTTTCAGTCCAGCTTAGGTTGAAAAAGAGATCAGTTCGGATCCCCTCATAGTTCACAGAGGAAACAGGAGAAACCTTAATCCCTACACCCCAAGACCTTTAGCACTGGAGAAGGAAGAATTGAGGACTGCCTTAGAGAAAGGCCCCAGAAGGAAAAACACCCTAAGCGTTAAACTCTTGCGAGGACACCCCCAACAGGGACCCAAGAAGTTAAGCGGCCTTAACTTATCTCGGAATGCGGAAGAAGCACGCGCCTGACCCAAGCAAGATTTAAAAAGTGCCTTCATAGAAAACGTCTTTGAAGGTGGAATTACAAATTACAAGCTGCGGGGAGTAGTTCTTAGGCAGTGCGCGGTTTTTCTTCATGTTCATAAGTAGGACATTTTTATAAGGAAATACAATCTTTTGTCGGTTCAACGCCCAAAATCACTACACATGTCATCATCAAGGGGGAGTTCCGGAAGTTAATTACCCTTAATCCCTGTATAACACCCTAAAGACCCCAAGCCTACCTCAATTAAAGCGTGTGACCATTGAGGAGAAGTCTGGGAAGCCATGCTGGAACCCTGCAGTCTTCCCTGCCTTTGGTGCCCGAAGTGGCAGCGCTGCTTGCCTCTTGTTAGTATTAATTATGGGGTCCTGTGCTTTTCCCCCTTAATTCCCCTACGCAGAACAGACCCCAAACAAGATTTAATTCGGGCCAGTTTCGGCTTTATTTGGGACCCATGGTGAGAGGGAATTAAGGAATCCGACTAGGGGTGTATTCCGAGGGCTTTAGGGTTCAGGGTTAGGGCTCTCGGTGAAAGGTTTGGGGTTGAAGGTCTAGGGTTCACGAAGGTGCTTACAGAAGAATGGTTTTCCAGAATCGATCCATCATTCCGTACGAATCCCTTCTCAATAATATTAAACTAACCACCTCCACCTCAGAACAGTCAATATTGGCCTGACTGTATATGAGCTACTGTGTTCTTATGTTAGGGTCTTCAATATCAAGACCCACAACCCTGATTGCTAAACCTTTCAACCTAAACCCGAAGCACATTAGGAAAAAAGCCCCAACAAGAGTAATATACAACCCCTATAGAGCCCTAACTAAGTCCCCAACATAACCCAATATGATCCCTAGAAGTCCCCACATTATCGCTGTTATAAAACCTTAGATCCTAAACGCTAGGCTCGGAACTCTGAACCCTAAACCCTTAAAGCCTAAACCCTAAACTCTAAACCTTAAACCCTAAACCTTAAACCCCTCTAAACCTTAAACCCGTAAACGCTATAAGCCTTGAACAGAAAGGCTGGAGGCATCGTTGCTGCAGCCGTTAAGCCGACTGGAGATTGGCTGCTGCGGCTTATCTTTGGTCACCAGGCTCCACCGCTAACAAGGGATAGACAATAGGGTCGCGTGTGCATCAGAAGCCAATTGCACATGTCCTGACAGGTTTGTGTGTCCCGATGCCATCTTGGACTAAGGTCTACACCTCGGTCCCAGAAGGCACACAGCATTTTTTTTAAAGCTGTAAAGAGTGTAGAGTATAGATCATGACGTTCTTGGCGTTCTTTGTTCTTTGTGCTGTGTGCAAAAAGGGACTCCTGTGCAAACTCCGTGGTAGAGCCCCTAGGCCTACG